GGTTGGGTTTAGTATTGAACCACATCACTTCCGTTTTATGATCAGTTTGTTTTCCTAAAGCGTTTAGTTAGGAACAGATGGCGTGGCCAGGGGTATCAGACTGTATTTTAATCCGAAGTTTCATGGCTGGTCCATGACCAAAATCATTATTCTAAGACGAGTTGTAAAACATATATTATGAAAGTATGAGTTCGAAAATGTGGTTCAAGAACATATCCGACTTCTAAAGAATTATTAAACCTAATCACTTGAAATCACTTCTACATTCGAATTAGCCCAATACCAACAAATAACTGATTAGATTAGACATCTAGTCGGCTTTCAATACACCGAGAATTCCAGTTAGTTCGAAAGACGGATAACATACATACCCATTTCTTCCGCTTACAGGTTGTTGGACGATTCAATTTGAGCGCGGAAGTCGTCTGGTGTTGGTGAAAAGTCTACTCTGGCTAGGATACGCGCTCTACCATCTCCCTGGCACTAACAAATATGGTTCAATATACGTTGGCACGGGTGAATACAACATTGATCTACCGTTTATGATCTAACGAATTTACCAACCCCGCAAAATGTCTTCCTTGAATAAATCAAACGCTACCGTACAATAAATATGATAAAAAACATGTTACTGGATGAATCGTTTATTTCTAGCATTTTTATCCAACATATAAATTAGTTAAGTGAGGCACAGGAGGAAGATGTCATAACGGATCCGCTGGGACGTGACTATCGAATTGTCCGGACCGGAGGATATCACAGACGGACTAGGGGTGTCCGCTCAATATATGAGCGGCCCGAAAAGTGCCAGTGCGAGAAATCTCAAAATTCCAACGTGATTTGTGAAATTCTCACACCGGCAGCAACGATACCTTACATTCATCTTGATGCAAATGACGGAAACAAACTTTCTGAAATTGAATGGAAACACGGACAAATATGGAGAGAAAAGTGTTAAGAGAGAACTTTTTTTTATCATATCTGACTGACGTAATGAAACACGAAAAACCTTTTTGAAAAAATCGAGAAATTTAAGTTCTAAAAGCATAAAGCTTTTCTTGACGTGACTACAACATGCGGCACGGTATTGACGTCCTGATCCAACGGGTCTGTAGATCGCTCATAAACTATTACAAAGAGCTAAAAACATTCTACAACTGCTTTTTTGTCGAAAACAGTGAATACAGTCAGAACATAGCTTATCACGCTCCGACAAACAAATGCAGACGCTAAAAACATGTCTAACGATTTAAGAGATACGAAAGAGGTGACAATAGGAATTTAATTGGAAAACAAAAACTTCAAAAAATTGAATAAAATTCACCGAAATTTCCCTGTAGTGCAGCTGGTAGAGTGTACGTTGACCGAGGGCGCATTCTGCATCCGTGCGTGCGTTCCATTCACAAAGGGGTTTGTGATCTTTTCACAGCTCAAAGCCTGCTAACACCACCAAACACAGTATATCGAAAGCGCAGCGCAATCGGTGGGTGAGACGGTAAAAACGCATTTCGTTCGGACTTATTTAGAATTTATTTACAAAGTGGGAGCTTTACCTATCGCCTTCGCACGGAAAACTTAGCTACATTTGAATGAAAAAAGTGCAGTTCAGTTCTTACAACTATTAACCATGTACTTCCGTGCGCCAGTTTTGGTTGCCCACTGTTCGCGATACTCAACCATAACACTCAGTGTCTCTAACTACCGGTGACCATCATCTGGGGGAGCCCAACGGGACCTACGTAACACAGTCTCCTGGTTAGGCTTTTCATATCCTCGTTCCAGGTCATAGGTTGACGGCTCTTGGCCTTTTTTCTATTCACTGCTTGCCTCGGCAAACATCGATCACCGTGACAACTTATCTGGTGACACGCGTAACACATGTCGCGACCAGCGTATTCTATGAAGGTCGACTTCTTGCTCCAATGGATAACGGCGACTACCTAAACCGCTACGCATAACCTCAGTATTGCTCCTTCTTTTTCCCCACCAGACTCATGCAATGCGACGTAGAGAGCGGTGTTCCAACACCGACAATTTTTATACTGTACCCGTATTGGCCAAGTCCCTGCACCATAATGCAGCACAGGCCGACTTGTTGCAGCATATACTCAACCCTTCACAGACAGCCGGATGTAGCACCACAGATGTTTTAAGTTGGCAAATGCCAACCGAGCCTTTTGCATGCGCGCCGACACTTCATTTGTGGTGCGCCCGCCAGGTGAGATATAGCTGCCCAGATAGCAAAACTTGTTTTACTCCCTTTACTACTTCTTCAGTCATGGTGAGGTTGGAGGCTGGAACAATTTAATCTTGTTGCAACATTTTACACTTTGAAGGTGCAAAACGCATACCGGACAAGGCTACGCGGGCGCTCAAGCTATTCAGAAAAGCTTGCAACTTACGTGCATCTTCGTTTAGCAGCACAATGTCATCTGCATACTCTAGATCAGACAACCTGCCACCTGGAAGTAAATAGATACTGCCATTCTTACGGGGATGGGGTTGCTTCAAAAATTAAATCTATCACAAAGTTGAATCGAACACAACTTTCTGTATTGAACTCGGGTGAAAAAGTGCAGCCATCTCGGACTCACGTTTGGCTATTTTTGGAGAGTGTTTGTGACATTGAAACAAACTTCTCGGGCACACCCTACAATGAAAGGCAGCGCCAGAGTTTAGAGCGGTTGACTGAGTCGATAGCCGCTTCAGATTGAGAAAGACAGAAATGGTGGGTCTACGAAAGGTCTCTGTGTTCTAGAATTTGACGAAAAGTTAAGATGTGGTCGATACAAACTCGGCCAGGTCTAAAACCAGCCTGGTTCTCACGTGTGCACTCTTCACGTGCGATAGACAATCGATGGAGTATGATGCCAGCAAGAGGTTTAGAGGTAATGTTGACTAAACTAATCCCTCTGTGGTTTTCACAAGAGGGCCTGACGGCTTTCTTAAAAATCGGTATGATCACCGATTTACACCATTCAGTTGTAACCTCTTTCCTCTTCTACGATACGTCGAGAGGTTTCGTTAACTTCGAAACCAAGGCTGAACCTCCATCCTTAAAAACCGATGGGGACAGTCCGTTGGGGCCGAAAGCCTTATGCATTTTGAGAAAATTTATTTTTCAAGTAACCTCCATTTCAGATAGAGAACTGATGTCAACTGGCAGTATCTGCATAGTTGAAGCGGGTAAAGCGAGGTCTTGTGTTTACGGGGGCCAGCTGAAACTGTGCCTTGCAATGTTCAGTCCAACGTTAAGGCGGCGTTCCTGAATTTGAGTCACTGCCGTCAGACTCATTAATTAACTCACTTAGGCCTGCTTTCCTTGGACGTATACTCCTAATTAACCGAAAAAGATTGTGACTATTACCGATAGCCACAGCCTTCCCTAGCTCTCTACACTTTCCCACCCACCACTTTCTCGCGGTTCTTCTTCAAACTGTTGATCAGCTGGCGTTTAAAGGATTTGCGTGTTTGATGGTATTCTGAATCCAAAGGAATCACTTCGCGAGCGTCCAGCAAGACAACCGAGGTCGGGGAGATCCATCGTTTTTTATTTGATCGTGCACCAGAACCTGCAGTTGTCTTGATCGACATTTGGATCGCTTCCTTCATTTTCGTCCAGTGTCCATTGAGTCCTCCAGCTGATAGCTGAGCTGACAGGCGATCTGATAGTTCTGATTCCAGGACCGATTTGCAACAACTGCTGACATTGTGTTGTGGGCAACCCTTTTTGGTGGCTTTTCTGTTTTTTTACTGGACGTAAGGAGAATCTGGCTCGTAGCAGAGCATGTGTTCATGGGTGTTGACCAGTAGGAGCACCAGTCTTCAGTGGATCGTCTCCAGCGGTGGCTGATGGTGATGCGGTCGATGAATCCAGCGCTGTGAAGATGTTGGCGGTCTCAATATAAGGCGGTGTAGTTTCTTATGCGAGACTTTTGTGCTTGACAGAAACAGTCCGCGGTAAGTGAAAAGTTGGAGCAGGTGTTCTCCGTTGTCACTAGTTGAGATTGCATATGAACCGCCAAGTAACCTTCCTGATTCGTCCAGGAATACCATTTCGGTATTGAAGTCCCTAACGGCTACCACGATGCTTTTGAAACAGTTGAGAGAGGTCCTTGTAGGATTCATCCTTCATTTCTGCAACTGCAATCAGTTGGTGCATAGGCGGATACGACAAAAAAACATAAACGCTTCGTTCTGTAGCTGTTGATCCGTCTGGTAGGGATTTTTGACCGGTAAACTGCCCCGCCCCGTGTGTTTTGCTGGAGTGACCTCTGCAGTGGCTGGAGTGGATAGTCAGGGGAAGCCAGGAGGTTCCCAAGCAGCCGGCCTTGTGAGACTGATCTTCGTCTGTCCTCTACCCATTGATTTTTTGGGCACGGTTGGATCTGCGGCTTTGAGGAGCTATCTCTTATAGCTCGCAGGGCCATGTATGAATGAAGTAGCAGGAGAAAGATAAGAAAATTGAAAGCAGATGCGAAGAGAAAAAAGAGAATTCCAGTACACTAAGGCTGCAAAGAAATTGAGGTGCACGAGCACCACTTGCGAGCCTGAGCCTTGCTCAGGTATCCAGAACCGGCAGTTGTGGTAGCCTAAAGGTCAGCCAACAGTGCATAGATTACTGAAGCTTTCGGTTCAAAACGAACGCTTGAGAGTTTACTTCGGATGTGAAAATACCCCACTATAGACGAACCATAAGCATTGTTTTGAGCACCTTATGGACGCACGTATCTAATTTTGAGGTTCATTTTACCTATAAATGCACAAAAGTTTTGTAACGGTCGGATTTAGACCTTGTGTAGTGCATCAAGTTAAGAAATTTATATACAATTACATTTTAACATGCCCGCCAAACATTTGACCTATGTATATTTTGATGAGAGGCACGATTCGTTAACGAAGGTGATGCCTCAATTCAACAGAAAAGTTGCTTTCAAAGTGGAGTGAAAGAATACGAAAGAAAAGTCATACTGACCTGTATCGGAAGTTTGATTTGCAAGCTATTCGGAACGTGAGGCTGAATGTGTGATATGATAATCCTGAAAGTGGAAAAAATAGAACCAAGGAAATTAAATGGGGTAAAGCAAACGCGAAAGATTAGTCACTGACCTGAATAACCATCCTTCCGATTTCATCTTCACATACAATGTCCATCTCATTCATTCATTAGCACACTGAAGTAGGCGAAGCATTTTTTGATCTGTGAGGTTATCATATTCAGTGAGTGAAATAAAGGAACGATTTCTATTTTTTTCGCTACAGTCTCGTCTTAGCATCAGTCAGGTTCCTTGTTAGTCACAAGCAACCACTGAGAAGTGTATTACTTGTTTTACTGATGAACATTAGAAAATGAATGAATCTAAAGCGGGTGGGAAATCGTAACTGGTCACGCTGAGATGACTACAGTTCAAATGGCTTGTAACGTAATGTACAAAACCATGATCGGTTTACCGGTGAAAGCTGATTACTTAAGATCATTACTTGCTTACAGACAGAATGAAACATCGGTCCAGTGTTCGGGCATTTCTGTTGCATATACGGGCTTGCGTATCCTTAGCTTTGATTAAGTGTAAAACCATGGACAAAAATCCAAGATCACAATGAAGCTGAAATCTCCATGACTACGATACACGCCACAAGGGCAGTACTGTAAACTGACAAAGCACGCACTACTGACAAGAGCGGAGACATTTGAGCGCTGTAAATGAACAGAAAGACCAAATACATGTGTTCCCGTAGACCAATCTTTAGGGAATGGTGCCAAGATAACCGAGGATTCTAAAGGATAGAAAGATGGTAAGCAATCGATTTGAGGGGCACGATGCGGGAGAAACTTGAACGCTCCACGGTATTGCTTACTCTAGTAGACAGTTCCAAAACACGCTGCAATTCCCGCTCCTGTTCTTCTTCCCGGGTTGCCTCCAACACACGCTGCAACGAGATATCCTCCTCATCCATTTCTGCTTGGCAAACAGCCATGGCTAATCGCATTTGTTCATCATCATCATCATCATCATCTACATAGTCGAGAGTACTAGAGCTGGGTTTAGCCGAAGCACTGCGGGCTTCTTGTTCGGACACCGGATTCGTCTGTTGTAAACATATGGAAAAACAAATGCGATAGACAGTTGGGAGACAACGCGAAATGTAGAGCAAAAACGACCATGATATAACCCCAAATCACTGGTGGTTATCGCATAGGAACAGTGAAACCAACCGTGATCGTTAGTGATCACTATCAGGTGCAACACGTACCTACTCCCTAGAAAATACCATACCCCCTTCTATCCCTAAGCGTGGCAACCCTTCTGAGCCCAATAACCATCGTCCGATCACCCTCCCTTCTGTAATTTGGAAAGCTTTTTAAGCCATTATCTCTGATGAACTGTGCGTGTTTCCCAAATACGGTTTGCTAAATATCCTTCAATATGAATTTCGCTCTTGTCGTTCCACGGATGACCGACTGGCCCTTATAATGCATACCTGTTCAACTGCACCTGATAACTACGGGGAAACTCATTTGGTCTCACCCGATATGTCAAAGGCCTCCGACCGCGTTTGGCAAGAAGGACTGCCGTTAAAACTACTCATGTTTGGATTCAACTTGGCTCTCTCTTGTTTATATGCTTCTGAAAATTCTGCCCCACCCCTTCTCTTGAACGCTTTCACTATTTTCACCAAGTGATTCATGACTAGCTTCCTTTTCGTTGCAGAGAAGCTTTCTTTCTCTCCTTGGTTTATAGATAAATGTTTCTGTATTTTTCTATGTAATTGAAAGGCAGAGGACGAACACTGGTGGTCTGGGTATTATCATCATTGTACGGCATAATACAGTGAAGCGGCCTGAGTAGATTCATTACTTTTTAATAACACTCCTTAGTGTGATGTACAGAGGACGGGGTGAGCTTAGTAAACAAGAGGTTCTGTTGTTTAGTGATGGCAACGGCCAAACTAAGCCCCATAACTTAGAGTGGTTAACCATATCGGTTAGGCGTGGTATTGAACCGAACGATAGCAAAGCTGCCTATCACCAAAGATGAGTGGCGGTGGTAGGGTTCGAACCTCTGACCACAGGGTTCAAAGCACGCCGGTTGTCACCGGCGACTAAACCACTGCGCCATCACCACCCAACATGTTAGGGAACAACCTGGACTTCGATGGCCACCAGAAGTAACCGTCACTTCCAATTCATCATATACACTTATTAGAGCTACAGTCGTTTTTTATATGATTCCAGTGAATATTCTATTTCGAATCAATAAAAGAAGCTACCTACCAAGTGTGTTGGAAGTTTTGCTTTCAGATGCTGCTTATACTGTTCTATTACTGAGTCCTTATTTTGTATATTAAGCACAGATGCACAGTGAGAACAAAAAAATGGTTGATAAATAAAATAAAAATCACTTGGAAATCCACGTCTAAACACACACTGTTACTTGATGAATCAACACTGCATCAGGGGCAACTGGGACGAATCAACTGCTGGATGAATAAAGCGATAGCATGCACGAAATGCTCGAACTAATCCCAGTTACTGGCATCAACGTATTACGAGGTCCCAAGTTTGAAATTTATAGCCGCGGGTTTGCTCTGACATTGAATAGCTTGATTGTCTTCGGGCTTCGTAGCACTTTTAGTTTTCGGGGCCTGGTACCAGTTTACCATTCCATTTGATATACGACATGGAATCTGGATTGGAAAATAATTTTTCTTTTGTGAATACTCACGACTCCTGCAACCGAAGGGACAGGGTTTTTTTTATTACACACCTATGTGTGATAAACAGCAGAGGATGCGACCCCCATAGTCATGAGGACCTGTTGTTCAATGATGGAAACCGGCAACCTAAATCCCGGGACTTGGAGTAGCGAACTACATTGGGCCCCGATAGGTTAGGCGTTGGAAGACAGCAAAGCTGCCTACCACCAAGTATCTGAAAGAGCTCGGTACAAAACGGCAGAACATGCTCGGAATGGATATGCATTTCTACTCGGTTTCTATTGGCACTTTGCTTTTCAAGACCAGTGATTGAATAAATATTAGTAGAGTATACCCGGGTAATTTCGGAGGGAATATGCAACACATCTTGGTGAATGTCAAAAAGTGCTTGCAGCCCTATATGAAATTAGGGAAATTCGAATGTTTCGCGACTGAGCACAAGTAACTGTTTATCACAAAAGTGAAATAGCGAAGAAATTCTCTACATGTTTTACTGACAGGGTAAGAAATTTCTCTCGGTTTGTAATGACACTTTTCCTTCAGGAAATTTATTTCATGCACAAACTCCAACATGAGAAAAAAATGAACATTAGAATGTTGAATAAAAAAGATCAGAAAACCACCTACTAGCAGATAGCGATCCGCCTCGCAATCAGGCAATCTACCGGTCACAAAAAACAAGGAATGGCCTTCTTTCTGCAACTGAGCTAGATAGATCTCCAGATATGTGTCCGAGATGAGCTTCGGTTTGGACATGACAGAGTTCAGGTCAAACCACTGCTGACCAAGGCGACGGATGGTGAACCAGTGATCTCGAAAATTGCAAATAAAGGCATTCTGAGCCTTTGGATTTTTTCGAGCGTTTTCCGCTTCTGGGCTCTGGCGTAATAGTGGAACCAATTCCAATGACCAAATTGACAACGCTTTGGTAATTACCTAGACGGTGAAAATAGTTGAAGTCAGAAACGAAGAAAATGAAACGCGATGTGATTCCCGAAAATGAACTTTGACTTTCTCAAGATTGTACAAAGTGAAACTAAATTGTTTCGGAGTTCATTGGTTGTTCTTATCTTGAACCAAATGTGTCCAACAGTACTCACCTGGATCGAAAAATATCCAGTTTCGTCCATGTTTTGAGATTTGTGTGGACCATTTGTTAAATGTCTTTGTTCTGCTTCATCCAGTTGTCGAGCCAGTTCAGCTAAATCAACAGCGGTGAAAAACGGTCCTTGAAGTAGCGCATTGAGGCAATGCTGAGCACACAAGGACCCTTCTTGCTAAAAACAACGTCCATGAAAAGTTTCATACAAACCTTTTCATGAAATATCTTGTCCATGATTTTGTTAAAACACAAAAACTAAGGTTACGTATCAACCTGAAATCCAAAAAATCCGGGGTTTTAGAGGAATAAATAAGAGTGATTAGATTATTATCGCCATAATACGGAACGTTTTTCTTTCTATAAGGACTATTGTACCGCGATTTGTTTGGCACACAGTCTGAACTCAGACGTATGTGATATATATATATATATATATATAATTTCTGTGTCAAAATGTTCGACTGATGAAAACCATAAATAAACAACTGAATGAAATACAATTTCCATCCTCGAGCATTTTACATTTTAGTGACAAACAGTATTCACAAGAATGTACCGTTTGGATATGAAAAGCACCTTAAATTCCGTGTGATGGGATACAGAACCATATGGGATAAGCTACAGCGCATATATTCATTAGGAACCGCTAATAAGGATCGCGTTATAAGATATAAGAATGTTCAAATCGGAATTCGATCACGGGGGGTAAAAAAAAGAAAGGCATGAATACAAAATTTTCCAAGATGGGAAATACCGTCGAGTGCACAGGATTTTTAGATTTTTTCATTACACATTTTTGTGTGACGAACAACAGATGGAGTGAACCCCATAGTTGAGTAAGCCTGCTATTCAGTGATGAAAACCGGTAGCCTAAGTCCAGGGACTTGGAGTGGTCAACCACACAAGGCCTCATTAGGTTAGGCGTGCTAGTGATCCGGACGACAGCAAAGCTGTCTAGCACCAAAGGCGGGTGACGGTAGCAAGGTTTGAACCTCGGGCCATAAGGTGACAGTGACCGAAATATTGTCTACCATCAACTATGCATAAATGAATATAAATGGAGTGAACCACATGGTTAAAGGATATACCGTAGGTGGGATGGTGAAGGGAATATTCAAGCTAGAACCAGTTCGCTCGAGATAAGGATGCTGTAATTTGGAGTTCATGCATAAATTTGTAGTGCACCAGGTTTTCAGATGATTGGACGTATACAGGACACATAAAACGGAAACTTGGGAGCGGACGAAAAAAGATAGGTGAGTTAAATAAAAACCCAAGTATTAGCAGTGCGATGGCAATAAAGAAGAAAATGCTCAATGATGAGTATTTTTTAGGTTTTCCATCGTAGAATACCTAGTGATGAGCTCAAAATCATGTCCTAGGGTACCTCCGACTACATTTCTTTATTTAAAAAGACAAATCGATGGATTAAGCTATTGGAAAACCTAATCTAACTTACGAATGTTAATGCCATAAAGAAGCCCTAGATGCGAGGTAGTTGAATGTGTTTTTGACCTGAGCACTCATGGAAAAATTCTCTGTACAAAATTTATGACGCCACAAGATTACACGTCTATCAGAAGACGGTGAGAAATAATATTTTTTCTTATATAATTACAAATAGAAGAAACCCAATCTTCGAAGTGGTAAACATCTAATATCAGAATGCCAAAATAATGTACTATAAAGCTTTCAAAGAGATTTCAAGCTAATAAATATAGACCAACCCAGTGATCAGATATCCTTCATCAGTTAGAGTGCTCAATTTTTAAATACATTGCTTTTGATTCGTGAGCACCATTATTGGAGAATCATGACTATAATAGCACAGTTACCTATACGATTCAAGCTCTACCATGAAGATGACGAACCTCCAAACGGCCTGCCTTGCGGTTAGTTTCTTGTCAGAACTAAAGGCTTTGTTCTCCTGCTTATTGGTTGGACACACTAGTACTACCCATCCATCAAACCTCAACGCATACACAACTTACACATAATTCCATACTGCATTGTTCGCCGCGCAGGATAATTAGGACCGCGCTGCTCATTGCATCGAGCCGGATGGGTAGTGATAAGTGGGCTACTGCTCAGACTTCCCAATCCTTGTTTAACCTTTTTTCTTCCGTACCCAACGCTCTCCCTTTACCCCTTCTTCCTACCCGTAATATTCCCTAACACAACTTGGTCGTCATTCGCCAAAGGTCGTTGCCAAGTAGCAAAGTATATAGTTTTCCTGTATATAAAGTGCAGATTCTGAAGCCTCGTCAACTTCTCAATCTGAGGGACTACAACGTGAGGACTCTCATGCAGGTGGGTTAACAGGCGTGTGTTGCGTAGACAATGGAGTCTCTAGAAATTAATGTCTGCCGCGTATCGGAGACATGAATTCAGGAACCTAGTATCATGAGCTACCTGAGTGCACTGGATCTGTCCTCGAGGAATTTTCTTCTTACATCAGGAGACGATAAAGCCCGCTCACTGGGTCAGTATGGTGTAGGGATCGTACCAAACTATAGAGCTGAAGCCTCATTCATAGATTGGAATATATACATATACATTACACCGGCTTGAGAACAAACATTATGCCAATGCAAAACAATGATAATGAAGATATGGAAGTGTACAGAAAGATTAAATGAAAATGGGGAAAACTGGGAACATGGAGAATGAATGAATAAATGGATAAACTTTTTAGTAGTTTCACCGGACATTTCTTGATGACTTTCTTGTTATGGGGAACGGGGTTTTGCCAAATAAACCGCACAGCAATCGCGCCACTGACATCTACTCTGAGCCATATCTCCCAGCGTCTCTAGCCATCGGCAATCCTCATCTCTTGGGCCCCAGCCGAACCGAAGCCAATGTTAAGGTTAACTTCTTCATACCTCTATGCCACGTCATGGTCTGATCGCCGCGAAGCTTCTTCCGACCTTACCCAGCAGGTGTAAAGAGAGCACGGCGAGGTAGTCGATGGGCAGGCATATGCAAAACACGATCGAGCTATCGGAGGCGGTATAGAACAATTTCGTCCGTTAGAGGACCGCGGCAATGTACACCCTTTCCTTAAAGGATAGTCAGATGTCATGGCGGCGCTACATGTGTCAGATTGACGAAAGCTGATCTAGCTTTCGCTATTCGTGATGTGATCTCTTCTCCAACCCCGCCTCCAGCTGTGATTAAGCTCCCGAGGTACTTAAAGCTCTCGACCATTTCCAGCTGATCATCACAGAGGGTGAGTGCAGGCACAGGCTCCTGTCAGTCTTGAACCAGCACTTTGATGGTGCAAAGCACATACCATACCTGGATACCTCTATCGCCAAGTGGTGTAAAGCTTGTT